TCGGATTTTGCTCGAAATCCAAGCTCTATAGGCAAAAACTGACTAAAAATTCAATATCTCAGCAACAAAGCACCATGGGGATGAACCAACTTAGGGTATTTCACTACTCACTGAGATCTACAAGATACAGGTAGTCCTAGTTCAAAAGCGATTTATAACCTCAAGAGGTTCCCTCGTCAGTGATGATTATTTCGCTTGTAAGTACGATAATAACGTAACGAAAGAAATGCAAGGGATATGCTACTTGGTGACGAAAGGGAAAATATAAATTCAATCGTAGTGTTTCTCTCCTTTCATCATGCAAGGTAGAAAAAAAGCTGTTTTCGTAACAATCATGTGTTTTTCTTACGAATATCTTGTGGAGTACTGTTGGAAGGCTCGAAGAAGACGAAGTAGAAGAACTTCTTCTTCTTTTTGTATGTCGTTATATAATAGAATACTAAATATGAAAGAACGAAAAGAAAAGAATATTTAGGTATATTAGTATTTTACTGAACCGTTAGGATCAGGCACCAAACATCTAGATAAACCTTCTGGATATACAATCATTGGTAGCGCGTGTGCTGTACACTTAAGCGAAAACTCATAAGATTTGATCACTAATAACACTTTCATAAGCAATCATTATGGGTTTTTACCATCACTACTTGGAACTTTTCTAATAAATTTCATATCCAGTTACTGTCGTATATACATTTTTCCTTTTCTTTTGTGTCTTATTCTCTTTCTCTATAACGATATACAGAATACAGATACAGACAGAAGAATTTTCGTCGTCTTCTTCGAGGCAGAAAGTAGAAGAGCTTATTTATTATTTTTCTTCTCCTCCTATTATCTTCTTTTTTAAATCCATATATATGTATAAGAATGAAAAATCATGTTATTCTGTTATTGTTCATACTCTTTTTAGACAGTTAAAACCAGACTAAACGAAGGATAGTAAGTTGAAAGTAAGTGATATTCTGCTTTTCTCCCTAGAGAATGCAATTATATTCAGCTAGTCCGGTTACTCTGGACTCTATCTCATATGTTTTCTTTCAAAAATATGCTTTTCTACTTTCCACCATCATAATCGACAAAACAACGTTTTCTAAAAAGGGAAGATTTTGTTGGATGATTTTCGGAAAAAAATATGAATAAAATTTTCCGATTGTTGGATAACTTTTATAGATATTTCTTTTGAAAATGGGAAAAAATGAAAACGATTTAGGTAAACGACCACGTAAACCATCACGTAAACCACCGCGTAAGCCACCATCGTCACGTAAACGTAAAGCGCCAACAAAAATGGTATTCAGTTCAGATGATGAAGCAGAGAATCAAACAACTGCAACGCTAACATCATCGACTCCTATAACCATCGACAATCACACACCTATTTCATCCACTATAACACGGCCAACTGCTCAAAGTGATAACGATTCTGCAGGTGACGGGGAAGTAAAACTATATGTACCATCCAATGTATGGTCTCATGCCACACGTGCTCAAGATGGAAAAACGGCTGTTTGTAATATCTGTAATAAACGTATCAAAACTAATTGTGGTTCAACATCGACACTTCGCATACATTTGATTAAAAAACACGACAAGATAGAGTTACAGCTACCAAAAAACCAGGCAATAAAATGTTCTTTAACACCACAAGAAAAAAGTAAACTACATAAATTATCTTTTCAATGTATTATACAAGATGGTCGGCCGTTTAATGATTTAACAAAGCCGGGTATTTCAAAATTAATTAATGCAATAGTTCCAGGTATACATAATAGAACTATCACTAGAAAACCTGTGCGACTCATATCAGCCCTTCACTCATTTTGAGAGCCGATAGAATCAAATGAAATGCAGCGCTGGTCAAAATTATAGAATCATCCTATCGTTCTGTTTTCTTTTAAATTTTTCTCTTCGATAACGTTCTCTGTTCTCTCGAGTTTTACTGTGAATATAGAGATTCGGGCGTGCTCTATCAGAGTTTGATATGGAAGTTTTGATAAATCTCATAGTTTTCGAGAAAAAACATTTCAATAAAAAATCACCAATTTCCCTGGCCAAAATTATAGAATCACTTAAAGATTAAAATTTTTTTTTTTTAAAACCAAGTTCAAGTTTCATCTGAAGTTTTTTTAGGTAAAAAGAGCATCCGAAATTGCATCGAATGATGTAATTTGCGGTTTAGCGATGTCTTTAATAAGCGGATTACTAAGAAAAGTTTTCGAGAAGTCGTTTTTGCGTACTATTTAAAATCCTTCTCATCGTCTTTAAACTAATATGAAAATATTTCTTTTCATACTGTCAGATAGAGCAGTAAATTCTGTATAAAATACAATGTTGTTTAATTCAAAAGAAATGCAGCACTATAGTTGCGAACAAGAATTTAGTCGATTAATCTCTTGATTCTTAAAAGATACAAATCAGACTATATTTCATAAGAAAGTCCTTTTTCTAGACAAATCAACGACTTTGTCGCGATATTCCGACTTTGTTTCTCCATCGGTTTGTTTTAGGTTACAGGCCACCACATCGTAATAGTATGAAAAAGCATTTAAGACGATTGAAATTTTTTCATACCAAAAAATTAATTGACGAGCTCAAAGGTGTTGAATCAATATGTATAACCGTCGATTTCTGGAGTAATCGACGTAATGTATCGTTTCTGGTTATTACCGGTCATTATTTTGTAAATGGTTTTACATATAAATCAACTATTCTTCATTATTGCTCGTTTGACAAGGAACATACAGCAAACAATATTGCCAACATAATTAAAGCAAAACTCAAAGAATTGAAAATTTATGAAAAACTTTATTCTATTACTTGTGACGGGGCCTCAAATATGCAAAAGGCATGTGATCTGTTAGATTCAAATGTCAAACGAATATGGTGCTTGGCCCATCGTCTTCATTTGATAATTTGTAATGGACTGGGTATTTGGTTAAAACCCAAACAGTCACGATCCAAAACAAAATCATCATCGAGAACAACTAATGAGAATGATAAAAGCGATCAAGATGATAATGACGACGACGACATGGATGATTCTAATAATTTGACATATAATAACGATGCTAATATGGCTGATGATGATGTCAGTGAGAAACAATTGTTTAGTTTTGATAGTGATAATGAAGACGAAATTGTTGAACATGAAACGGAACGGACTGAACAAGAAACAATCGATGATGAGCAATCGGACATTGAAGATGAGAATATTGGTTTAGATGCGCTTGATGAAGAAGAAATAGACGATAATTGGTCTCAAGACTTGTTAAACGAATGTGAAGAAGAGGATCAAAAGATTATATTTAATGCTTTATCAAAATGTCGTGCATTAATTAAATTTATTAAAAAATCATCTATTTTGTCATCATATTTCGATACCGAAAAACACAAATTGAAAAAAAAACGTACATTACAGTTAGACGTTAGAACAAGATGGAATTCTACCTATTATATGATTGACGGCTTGTTAAATTTGAAATTAGTAATGGCAAAAATGTTCGATGATAAAAATCATTTAAAAATTAAAAATAAACTAAAACAAAAATTGAACGAATTAGAATTAACATCAAATGAATGGAGCGTACTATCTCTATTACATGATGTATTGAAACCGTTCTATCGAGCAACACAATTAATTAGTGGAAGTAAATATTCAACTATTGGGCT